CTCTTCAAAAATCTGATTCAACACATCATCATCTCCACAAAGTGTCACCCAGTGCTGTGACATCCCATGACAACTCAGGCAGAAGCTTAATATAGGACAGAACCTCCCTGTAGAACTGATCTATGGGTTGTCTGTCATGAAGCTTGATTTCTTTTCTTTTTAAAGTGACAATCCCTTCAATTGGTCATTTTTGCATTACCACCAAGTTAACACCTCATACACCAACCCCACCTCTGTCTCAGACTGAAAGTGTTTCCTTCTGGGCTCACTCTGCCTGGAAAGGAAGCATTTTCAAATGCAAACTAGTTAAATTGGCAGCTTTTCATTTTCAGACCAGTCGAAGTGCAGGCCCTGCTCCAACTGGGGCAGCTTAGGGGGATGTCTCTTATCTGCTGTAGGGTGTGGAGACCCCATGGTTAGCACCAGCTCTGGCCCCAGCAGTGCCTGCAGCCACACTGAGCCTCAGCTCTGAGGATTATGTGATGCTTGTAACTGGATCCCTTGCCTGGGATTTGGTTTCCATAGTTTCTGTGAAGCCAGATGGAAAGGAAATTAGCCCTTTCTAGCTCAATAATCACAGCTCAAAACTCTGAATGTTAATAAAACTGGATGATTACTCAGTCTCATGTCCAGACCTCGTGGTTCCTTCACAGTCTGTCCTGGACACCACAGTGGGACTGAGGGGCAGAGGCAGCAGGATGGGGAGCAGGTTGCTGCACAAGGGAATGAGACCACAGGACTCAGCCACCACCAATGGGGGAATCTCCTGTACAATTCAGAGTAGCCTGGAAGTTATTTCAGTGTACATGGAGCACTGAGTTTTCTCAAAGACCAGGAGGAAGGTTTGTGTGCTGGTGTGGGGATCCAAAGCACATCAACCTGGTATTTCTCCCCATTTGAGGGAAGTAGGAAGTCAGATAAAGCATATCTGAATACCCCACAGCTTTGAAACCCTGTGTGCTCACTGCAAGTGATTTATTTTCAGGCTAAACCCTCTGGGGCTCCAAAGTTTTTCCTTTTAGTTGTTTTTTTCTCTCAGTAGTAGAAGTTAGAGGGGGAGGAGGGAAATGGTGAAGAACACCCAGAGATTGTCATGAAAAGGGGACCCAAGTCACTCAACTAACCAGACCATCCTGGAATGTCATGAAAAGGGGACCCAAGTCACTACAACTAATCAGACCATCCTGGGATTTATCTCCTGAAAGTGAAGAACCCTGGTTTTATTTCCCATCATCTCCTTTGGCTTTAGGGCCAGCACCAGGACAGAAGTGTTGGCTGCTTCAAAAGACAACAGTCTAAACTCTGTTTTCTTAGCTTTGCACCGGACATGTTAAAATCAATCTGCTTTTATTCTCCATAAAAGCAATAAAGCTTTAAGCCTTCCTAAGCCTGTCCAGTTTCTTTTACCCCACTGTGACAGAAGGAAATGTTCTTACTCCTTTCTCTCTCCTGCCAGCAGGCTGGTAGCTCCAATTCCCAGTGTAAATATAGTCTCTCCACCTGGACACAACCTTCCACCTAATTAATTGAGTTAATTAGGCACAGTAATACTGCAAGGTGGCTGTCCCCCTTGGGTGTGCAATGTGGAGGGGGTGGATAAGCTCACCCTGTGCCCTAACATCCACAGGAGTGCCACGGGGGAAGCCTGGCACGAGATCATGCTGTCATGCCTGAGCAACAGAGCCTGTGACCCACTCTCTGGCCTCACCAAAAAGGAGTGTGGCAGTGATTTTGCCTATTTCTACTTCGTCTCCTTCATCTTTCTGTGTTCCTTCCTGGTAAGTTGGTCCCAATCCTTTCCAAAGTGGAGGTGTTGGAGTGGTTCCCCCCACCCCCCATCCCTTCCCTCTTCACCCCTTTGCCTCCTCCTTCTCCCTCATTGTAGTTTACACAGCTTCACTAAACCCCATTTACCATCCTGGTGATAAAATCCCTTTAATCCTCAAAGAGATCATTTAGTCATTAGTTTCAATGGAAGGGGTTTATCTTTTCCCTCACAGGGGGGTCTAATATTTGGAATTAAGCATTAATCGGTTTTGTCACAATTTGTAACACATTCCTTTGAAGAAGGAGATTGGGGAGGGCAGGGTGAGCATGGCTAGGATGGCACCAGTTCAGAAGCACTTGCAGCAGGCAGCTGGGAGTGTCATACTCATTTGCTGCCTTGTGTTTGGGTTTGTTTATCAAATAAATGCAATAATCACTTTCTTCTGCCAGAAAAAGCTTTAGATGTGAAAGGACTCAGAGCTGCTGTACTTGGTTTGTGCTCATGACCATTGTACAGGGTTGGGGATGAGCTTTAAGAGGTATCAGTGTCCTCCTGACCACTTGCATCCCTAAACATCTCTCTGCTCCTGGGGCTTGGTTCACTTTCCTGCAGCACTGGGACAGAGGAATGGAAAACCAGGGACAGAGACCCAATTAAACTTCAGGCAGGAGGAGATGAAAGTCACAGCTCCGGAATGTACCAAAAAGCTGAATAAGCCAATGTTCAGTTCCATGAGTTTGCTTTCAAATCTCAGATTGGGTGCTTTGTGCAGCTAATTCCTGCTATCAGCAGAGCCCTTTCACCAGCAAAAGGAGGGACATGTAGCAGTTTGATGCTAGACATAGATAGACCAACTTCAGTGGTCCTTACTGAGCTCCTTTGTCTAACTGCTGTTGCCCCTTTGACACCCCATGCATTATTTCATCTGCATATATTGAAAAACTTGAAGCCCTGAAAGCTTATACAGAGTTAATGCTCCATTTGCTGACTCCTCAGTGAAGCTACAGCACTATTTTAAAGCCTTGCACAAATGCCTGACCCAACCTCAGATATTTTCAGAGTTATTTTCCAAGTGTATTATTGTTCCTGAAGACTTTTATTTAAAACAACAACAACAACAACAGCACATCTCCCCTAGAGTCTCCCTGGCTGTATCAGCTTTCCCACCCTAAATGCAGTAGCAGAATTGGAGGCTGCAGCACATCTGTGCAAAACCAGCTCTGTGTGAGCTTTATCCCTGAGTTAGTGCTCTTGGAAAACCCCAGGAAAATGGACCAAGAGAGAGGAGAGCCTTTGTGAGCAGTAAAGCCTCCAAAAGTAAGCAATGGCAAGCCAAGCAGCTGATCTGCTATGGGACAGGGCTGTCACTCATCTCTTAAACTGCATTCAGCACTTCATTGCAGTGAACATCTGGTTCCCCTGAGCAATTAAAGCATTGCAGAGCCTCAGCCTTGCCAGGAGGGCACAGGTTTATGGTTTCTTCGATGCTATGCCATAGGTTAGGAAGGAATTGGATGGTGCATTTGGTTTTAAATGGTGGGTTTGGCTCTTGGTGGATGTGCAGCTTGATATAATTTTCCTCCTGTAGTTTCCAGGAGAAAAATGTAGATTGAAATTGATGTTGAAAAGGATAAGTTGAAATTTATCTGGAAAAATAGAAACAGAAAGTTAAGTATATACAGGAACTTTAGAAACAGCTGGATGCAAGCAAAAGGAAACTGTACCAAGCCATGGCTGGAACTGGGAGCAGTGGGGTCAAGGGGCAAACTCTCAGAAATTTTGCTGTCTTGTGATGCTCTGGGGCCACTGTGCCACATGTGGAGTACCTGCAGGACACAAGTGAGCACTCCTGATATGGTGATAGTACTTGCAGCTTGAACAGCTTGTTGAGAGCTGGTTTGGACATCCCTATCAAGTACTGCCTGGTGCAGCACAACAAGATCCTGGGGTTTGTCTGGGCTGCAGCATAGGAGCCCTACAAGCACACAGGGAGTGAGGTGACATGAAGTTCCATCTCAGCTCCCCAAAGCCAGCAGAGTTTTTTGAGGCCACATTCGAGCTGGCCAGCACTGGACCACAGGAGGGACTTCACACACATCACTGCTGGGGTGGATCCTCAAAAAATAGATGGACTAAAGGTCTAGGAAGTCCCTGATGAGCCTTTGGGGGTGATATGGTGATTCATTATAGCCTGTGCTTGTCTGTACTGATGGATTGTGTGTCCCAGCAAGAGCCAAGACCTTCCTCCCTCCAGATCACACAGGACTATGAATTCTTTAATGCTGCACAAGCCCCAGATTCCACTGCCTGATTTCCTTTTAATGATATCCACATTCAGTTTAATTGTGCTGCCAAACTGCTTGGCCACAGCCCTCCTTGCCCAGCGTGGGGCCCAGGAGCAGCACTGACAGCAGCAGCTCAGCCTCCTGCAAAGGTAAAAAGGAGCACAGGAACATCCATTCCTGTGTGCTCTCCTGCTCTTGTATTCTGCCTGGCTGCAGCTTGATCTTTTCCCATTGAAATCCTTATGATTCTTCCATTGACTTTAATAAGAGGAGAACCTTTATACGCCAGAAGTGTTTGCTGGGCTCTGTGTTAACAGCCATTAGGGACAGGAGCCTTTTGTGTGTCCTGCCCCTCATCTTTCTGGGCATCTTTGAAGGTTTGAATTGTTAGGAGTCTAAAATGGGACATTCAGGCTGAAGAATGGGTTTTCTTCTAGCTGTTCTGGTCCTGATGTGCCTTGATATGAAAATGCTGGAAGAGTTCCCATTGCCTGGTTGGTGAAGCAGCCACTGCAGCCCATGTGCTGCTCTGTGCTGGTGTAGGGTGCAGATGGGGCAGGGAGAGGTGCTGAGCCAGCTGGGCTCTGGGGTGGGTCGTGCTGGAGAGCAGCATCAGGGACTGGGGCTTGGACAAACTCCACAGTCAAACCTGCTGTGTACTGCAGAGCTGGAAGTGACTTGCAGTGTGCAGGGGAGGAGGAGGCAGTGGCAGCATCCTCAGGGACCCATGGCTCCTTTGGAGAGTTTATCCTCTGGGGTGAGGCTGCTTCTTGTAGAAACTACACATGTGGTTAAGGGAATCATGTCCACTCCCTTCCCAGCTTTTCCTTTCTCCTTTCCCCTATCCTCTTTCTCCTCTCCCCTCTCCCCTTTCCTTTCTCCCCTTTCCTCTTTCCCCTTTTCCTTCTCCACTTTCCCTTCTCCCCTTTCCCCTTTTCTTTCTCCCCTTTCTCCTCTCCCCTTTCTCCTCTCCCCTTTGTCTTTCCCCTTTCCCCTTTCTTTCCCCTTTCTCTTTTCTTTCCCCTTTCTCTTTTCTTTCTCCTTTCTTTCCCCTTTCTTTCTCCTTTCCTTCCCCTTTCTTTCCCATTTCCCCTTTCTTTCCCCTTTCTTTTCCCTCTCTTTCTCCTTTCCTTCGCCTTTCTTTCCCCTTTTCTTTCCCTTTCCTTCCCCTTTCCCCTTTCTTTCCCCTTTCCCCTTCTTCCTTTCCCCTTCCCTAACTGCATTCTTGCTTCCCCCTTGCAGATGCTGAACCTGTTTGTGGCTGTGATCATGGACAATTTTGAATACCTGACAAGAGACTCTTCCATCCTTGGGCCCCATCACTTGGATGAGTTTGTGCGTGTGTGGGCTGAGTACGACCCTGCTGCCTGGTATGTACCCTCTGACACTGATGTGGGGACACAAGGACACACTCTGGGTAGAAATACTGTACCTACACACACAGAGCCTAATTTCATGTGAGTACAGCTCCGGAAGGAAAAGGACTCCAAGGCTGGAGGTAACATGGTGGTAAATGCTCCAGTTCCAATTCCCTGTGCACTGGAGATGAACAAACCTGATGTCATTACAAGGGCATTTCCTTCCAATAGGCAGAAACCAACAAATCATGGAAGCAAATTGCACCCTTCTCCCCACACAGCCAGAGATTAATGGGGAAGATCCAAATGATCTTGGCTAAACGGCCAAGAAGAAAAACTGTTTAGCTTTACCGTTGCCTTTGATTTCTACATTCCAGTTTGGAGATAAAAATACCCCAATCCCTTGCTATTGGCAGCACTTTTAGGTAGTGGGAGAGGCTACACCTTGTCACACCTCATTTGTGCAGCATTTTTCTGATTGAGAACCACTTTAATGATGTCCCAAATCCTGTGCAGAGACCTAAGGCCACAGGAGATGATGTGTCACATCTGAGTCAAGTGCTGCAGGCTCAGACTCCATCACCTGCCTTCACCCACCCACTCCCCAGCTGGGAGTGATGTGATGTTCCTCAGTGTAAGGGAGGTTGGCTGAAAACATGTGATGTTTTAAACAGCCATTTCTCATTAAACCCAATGTTTTGATCTTGGAAAGCTCCTTCTAATGACATCAAACAGCACAAGGGAACTTTGCTCTTCTAAATAATCTTTCAGCTTTCAGACTTGCAGCTGAAACATAAGATGTGTGAAATAAGCAGAAGAAAATGCAATCAGCTGAAGTCTGGAAGCATTTCAGTTTTCAGTGAGCCTCTGATAACGTGTTCCTGATGTGTGTGTGTGTTAGAGGAGGGAATGGTTCTCACACACTGCATAGTGAGGGGTTTAGTTTGTGGCTTTATCTCTTTGTATTTCTTATTCAAAGATACTCACAGGGAAAGCTGCACTCTGGGCTTAGGGATCTTAGCAGCAGAGAAGTGGCACAGGGGCTGGAAAGATCCCAGAGCCACTGATGAAGAGGGAATGGCCCTGACTTGTGATCACTTCCAGAGCAAGACTGATTTAATACATTGGGTTTATGCATTGAAAGCTGCAGCACATCAGCCCTGGTGACTGTTATTTTCCTTTTTAGATGCTCTGTCACAGGTCACAGTCATTTCCATGCTATTCTGCAGCTTGGGAATTTGCCTGTTGAGAGACCTTTATTTTAATTTAAAGCTCTACTAATTTTGTATCTATTTTCCTCCCCATGACTTGCTCTGCAATGAATCTCCTCTGGATTTGTTCTGCCTCCAGCTCCTCCAATCCTTCCCTTTTTTCTTTTGTTTGCCTTCAGCAGAGACAGATGCAGAAAGTGTTTGTATAATCAGCATCTCCAACTCCCTGCTAGGATGCAATTAAACTGCTTTAAAAATCTCAGTGAAAATGATTTAGGCTAACTTTAAATGTAAACCTGTTCCAAAATTCCTGCACTTCTCTGAACTGTGAGTGGTTTGAACTAGCTCAAAGCCATCCCTGCTACCAGCCTGCACACATACTAGTAATCTCCAAGCAGATTTTCATTCCCACGTGCTCTGTAACACAGACAAATCCTTTGTGGGGATTTGGCAGGCAATAAATAGCTTTCCCCCCTCTTTTTCCACTCCAGTCCTATCTCTTACCACTAGAAAATCTCAATGAGACTGAAAACTTGGGAGTGCCTGTTCACTCCTTAAAAACTAGCCTTGGCTCTGATTAGCATCTGTGGGAGGAGTAACACACCTGCAAGGGAAAAAATTAGTATCAGTGTGGGGTTTTAATGTTTCTGTGTGCAGGAACTTTCCACCCAGAAGAGGCACAAGTTTACAGATTTCTTGCTCTATTAACTCTGAGCAGAGACATCACATTCTGTGAGTCACTCAGGGGCCAAACCTTTCCCCTTCTCGAGCTGTTTGTGCAGAATATGTCACATATTAAGATCCTGATTCTGTTTTTTTCTAACCTTGTTCCCTTTTTGCTCTGGGGGGAAGTTATTGCTGTTGGCAGAGTGTGTTGGCCACGTGTGAATAGTTCCACTGAAATCACTTCCATTTTCCTAAGTGGGACTAACATTTCCACAATTTAAAAGTCATCTGAAATCCATTCCCAGTTTAAGGCCAGAACTGATCTTTTAATCATTTTGATCTAAGATCTTTCTGGGTTTTCTGATCTTAGAGGTCTTTTCCAACCTATGTGATCCTCTTATTTGGGCTGAACTTGGTCCCTCATCGATCACCACCCTCAATGTCTCTTCTTTGATTGCCCCAAGGAAATGACAAAGGAATTACACTGTTTGTTCCATAGTTTGAACTCCTCAATCAATGAAAGATGCTGCATGGCTAAAACCCACAAGTGTTGTTCTACCTGTGTTATCTATATAACACTTTAAACATAGACTTAACGTGTATTTACATCATATTTGCAATATCACCTTTGGTTTTGTTACAAAACCCAACTTTCTGTAAACTTTTCTGGGGAAAAACATTCAAAAGGAAG